AAAAAAAAAAAAAAAAAAAAACGAACACTGGACTCATTAGAAGTTAGAAGAAAAAATATTTCTGTGAACAATACCTGTCAAGCTTCCTTCAGTGTGAGATGTAGTGCCACTAACAGGCAGAGATGGAGGAGGCATCTGTTCGTTTCCATTTGCATTCGGTGTTGTATTTGAAGACACCGAAGCCGCAACAGTTGCCTGGACCTAAGATTATAAAAGCTCTAACTAGAATAGAATTTTCCATGCAGATTTAAATTAATAAGAAAACTGTTCAGGCCCGCCTTAAGTTAGGAAAGAAAGAATAACGTGCCTGATGTTCTATAAGTAAGGCGCGATAAGATTCTCGAGAAAATATGTAGGAGTTTTTGTTAACTATCTCGGAAAGTTCGTTCTCAACGTACTGCATATAAGTCTGAAAACAAAATTAGTTGATATTCGCAACCAACAAGCAAAGCTATGAAAAAAATTATTTTCTTTTGTTGAAAACTATAAGCGGATACAACCAAACAAATGAAGCAAAAAATTTTCTTCGTGAAAAATTTCGCACATTAAGCTTAGCGATTAGCGACGCGCCATTGTTTATGTGCCTTTCAACTTGCTTCAAGAAATCATTCGGATTAGTTACTGGTAGCCGAGTCGGAACCCGTAAAAATCCATCCTTTAACGAGTCTTTTGCAAAAGGAAGATGTCTTCCAAATCTGCACTGCTCATAGATCCTGCAAGTCATAACCATTTTAACGACATTTCACTCCACAAATGCCAAGAGAAGCAAACAATTACCTTGAAAGGTCCTCAAAATACTTCTTCGATTTCTCAACACACATAATGCTGTCAGGAACAACGGCAATGTACAGCACATCTTTTGGTTGATCATACGGCTCCAACAACATTTTCTCCCATATGCGCAAGGCCTGCGGTGAAGCACTAATAGCATCTTTTTCTGATGCCATTAGAATATTTGGAATTGGTTCTGGAAAACTGTCATCCTCCTAAAAAAAATGCCTCGATTGTATCGGTAAGGTTCACAGTCAATATATGGTCCACTCAGTAAGGAAGTAGAACTCGTTGAAACAGTCCAAATGAGGAAATATTGTAAACGAAAAATATTACAATGCCGCCGCCTGTCTTCAAAGACTTCCGATCAAAATGTCTCCAAGTTAATGGTCCTTCAACAATATTATTACTACCACCCATTTGTGCCGAACGAGCCTTGCGTAGAGTCTCTTCTAACACTGGTCCAATTTCATGAAGGACTGCCAAACATTCTGCTTCTCTCGGTTCGTACATCTCATTAGCGATCTGTAATCCTCACAGTTCATCTCTCAGTTGGCATCCAATTTCAAAACAAAACCACCGTCTCACTATAGTCTTTCAAGTAAAATAAAAATTTTCCAGACCTGCACGCCCCAATCATGCCAAATTAAATTCTGGAAATTCCCTCTTGGGCGTCTGCAATTCATCTCCATACATGCTACTTCGCATGCCGCTTGGAATACAAGAGGTAACTCGCGCTGATCGACATCTGATACAACATATTCCGTCTTCTTTACACAATCAGCTCCTCCATGATCATTCTAAAAAAAATGCCCTAACAGGGAGCTACATAAGGTGTTGATTATGAAGTGAAAGCCAACCTTTTCCTTCCCACACTAGCCTGGTTTCTAACACACAAAAATTAGCTAATTTAGAGATACTAATAAAAGGGCAGTAGCCATGACCAGAAATTTGCAGTAAATTCAGAAAAAAACGATGTGAAACTGTACCTGAACAGCTCTCTCACACTGTCTATTAAGAAGCGAAACGTGATCCAGGAACCCACTGAGATCGTGAACTAAAGTTTGTTCACACAATAAAGCAATAAAGTCGATATCCCTGAAACAAATAACGTCAACTGCAGTTTAACCAAAAAACAAATACATGAATAAAGAAAAAATAATAAAAAATAAAACTGTTGACACGAGAAAGTGAAAAAGAAACGAGAATGAAGTAAAATAAACTTTTTGCTGATCGGGTCAAACCAAATAGTATGGGGAATAACCGGTTGACTCTGGCTATCAACAATGTCAGTTGCTTCTTTCGCATCTTCTGGGAACAATCCTGCTTTCATGCTTAAGTAACGATGGCGAACAGCACTAGAAAACCCAAAAAGTCAGGTACGAATCTTTAGAAAAAAAACAAATTTAAATATGTTAAACAGAATGCAACTGAAAGTGTTTAAAATGACCTCATATTTTGCATTATACCTGAATCCACAGTTACAATTCTGCGTTGCATTAGTATTGATGTAAAACCCGCTAGTTGGCCTGTTTACAATAGGGTTTTGCACCGATGAAGATTGCCTTAGAACCTCTGGGGGTGTTATATACATGCCTAGCTCCTAAAAATAGAAGAACTTAACTATACGATTCCTGTCCTAGTCCAAGCAAGTAGGTTTTAATCGGAGTAACATTATATAAAAGTATCATGAACTATAGTCAGTGTAAAAACCTTCGTTCGAATATTTCCATTGCAAGAACACAACGGGCAAGCATCAAAAGCTGAATCATAATGTAAATCGAGAACAGTGTCCTGAAGTAAAACTGCCAGAGCAAGAGAATTTCCTTCCGGATGTTGAGGGGGCGTCACAGTATTAGCCAAACTTGCATTCTGAGATAAAGCAGGAGGTCCCCTAGACAATTAATTTTATATGTAATATTAATCAGAAACTGTCAGTAATGGATTGACTAGTTATACTGATAGACAAAAGTAAAACGAATTTCAGGGCCATAAAAGACGAGAAATCTAATGTTTCTAATATTTTTCAAAAGCTTTATTACGATAGAAAAGCCGTTTATAAATAGTAAATGATTATCTTACGGGTTGTACAAGGGGTTGGTCAACGAAGTGTTCCCAGACGAATGGATCATCATAGAGTTCTGTATGGGACGAGGACCTGAGAGCATCATTGGTGAAGTTGCAGAACCCATGAAAGGACTGGAACGAATCATCTGCGCTGACTGGCCGTAAATTGATGGAGCAGTGCTACCTACACTTCCACCACCAGTATACTGTGCGTTCATCGCTTGAGAAAATGGTGGCGGAGGTTCTAATGGTGTTGAGACCTAGAAAAAAAGATAATTTGAGACACCGGCAAATTACAGTGACAACAAAGAAAAAAAAACAATGCCTGAGGTTCTGCAGAATAAGCGGTCGGAGACGGAATGATTTGTGGTGTCATGCTTCCTTGAACGTTCCCACGAGGCATCATCTTAAAAAATTAGTTTCTGCGATTACTTTCTATACTCACATTTCTCTTCAGAAATGTTAACTAAAATGAATTTTTGGTTGAAAATATCAAAAAAATAACCCTCTTCTAACATACCTTACTCTTCATGGCCCTAAAAAGATTTCTTTTTTCAAAAAATCACCTGCTGTTGGTAGAATAGCTGCTGACCATAAATATTTGACTGCTGGTTTGAAAATGTAGCATTGCTAACGAACTGACTGAGCTGCTGAACGGGCTGTGGTTGGGTGCTTAAACCACTATGCATCATATTCATCCCTGAATGTCCTCCAACACCACCACCCATCATTGCAGATGGCTGACTGGGCATCATACCCAAACCTTGAGGTGTTATGTTCATCGGACTGGTATGCATACCACCTATTTGACTTCCTGAATTCATTAAGTTCGATGCTCCATAAGATGGAGGACTCAGAAAACCGGGATTATGCTGGCTAATTACGGACGGCGAAGAATATGCAAGAGACTGCGGCCTGGAAGAAAAAAAAAATTATGCTTAGTAGTTTAAGACTAAAACTTCAAGGGATAAGCAAATATATCGTAAATGCCATCTAAAAAAACCTTGGTGGCCGTACAGGTAGACCTGGGCCCATCCCTCCAACAGGTGAGTTCACCATCGCATGCATTACTCCAGGAAGGGAATTTGAACTGCTATTTGACGTCATGCAAATAGGTCCATGACTTCCTGGCTGAGGACCAGTAACTAAAACAGTTACAAACATTTTTATTAAAAGTAGAAGATAAGCGGCTTACAAGAAACTTTTACACACATATCCAAGAGAAAAACAGAAGATAAGAGAAAAAAAATTCACTTGCAAGACTACTAGTCAAAGACGACCCGATATGACTTCTTGTACGGTCAAACGATAGGAATTTATTTTCTTCTGGTTTATGTTCTTCCCGATAAGGCTGATAAATCGGAGTTGCAGCAATATGTTTCCGCTTCGATCGTGCAACAAAAGAAAAGAGAGCTTGGCAACGTTTGTCAAAATACGGTCCCTAAAACCCAAATCGAATTACGTTATAATAAAACTGCCTATCGTCTAAACGCATTTACCCCAACAACTTTCAGAAGCCAGAAAAAAAAAGCAGAGCTCTTATTCGTTTCATAATTTCAAAAAATAAACTTTAGGGTGAGCCAATTCGTCTTTGAGGTAGTCTGAACCATATTTGCCACATAGGACAATTTTTAAAACTACTGACTTCCCAAAAAGAGGAAGTTTTTCAGCCGACAAGTCGATAAATTTTCCCTGAAAAACACAAAGTTTTCTTTTTTCGGTTACCCAAACGATACGTTACTATAACTACGAGAATAAAAAGAAAAGCAAAATATCAAATCTTCACGTAGTTCAGAAGCCTCTTACCTGAAGCCCGCACACTAAGTCATTGTCGACTTCATTTTTAACTAACATAAAGTTCTCGTGGAACTGCTCATTAGCGCTAGTTGAATTCTGCATAGTTTGATTTGGTAAAGGATGATAAAGAGGTAAACTAGGAGGACATTGGTTCATCCCAATACACTGCATGGTAGAAGAGTAGAAGCCAGTACTGGAAGTGCTTTGTAAAACCACATTTTGTGGACTAAATTGTTGCGACTGAAATTATTACATCAAAAAGTAAAAATAGAGAGGAAAAAAATTAGAAGCTGAATCCAGCAAGAGCCTGTTATTCGAAGTTGTAAAAAGACGAAAAAACAGTTATGATTAAGAAATAATTCGAAGTCTGTTGCAGCATAACATCTGTACCTGAACTGCATCTACTGACGGTGGAGTGGGGTATATTTTATAGTCCCCTACTGACGGAGGTCCACCAACACGTGCAAGCTGCAAAATTTTGGTATTTGTA